ACTTAACAACTGCGGCAAGAAATGTCATAAAATAGGGCAAAATTTTGCTTAAATGTCTTAGTAAGCAACATAAATTTGGGATTCAATTGCAATTGTAAATCGAGGGCTATAGGTATTTTACTGGAAATCTGGGAGATGTTTCTAAAATTTTGAGAATGCAAGCTGGACTGTAATCTAAAATTAATGTTTCAAGATTCAGTTTCTTACTAGGTTATAATTTTCCACCCATTTCTACATTATTCTTAATTTGAAGAAAAGTAAAAAGCTGCAGCCTAACTTAAATGACTAGGAATACGACATACACTTTTATATCCGCTTCTAAAGGAATTTAAGGAAATTGAACAATGAATGCCAATAAATATGTTTACGTAGGTTACTGCTGAGATGTAAATGGTTAATGATCAGAACTACGGATTGGAACACTTTCCAGAGACATTAAGATCTAGACCTGGAAGATCCATTGGTGTGTGTGTGTGTGTGTGTGTGTGTGTGTGTGTGTGTGTGTGTGTGTGTGTGTGTCCCCACCTGCCTGTGTCTTTAAGTTATGTTTGCAATTGGGACAGAAAGTTCCATGCTAAGTGATGCATAATGAGTAGTCCAATCATACACATCAGAAGGGTCAAACTCAATTTCATTGAGGGCCGTGTGGTTGACCTCGGGGGGCCAGACGGGCATGGCTGACTGGGTGGGTTGGCCGACTGGGTGCGTGTGGCCGATTGGGTGGGTGTGGTCAGGCTGAGACCACTCAATGGGCATGACCAATTGGGTGGGTGTGACCAGATCAATGCCACTCCCCAAACTGCTGGCATGTTTCCTTTTTGCACTGGGTAGACCGGGCTGAGCCATGTTGGCCCAATGTTTCCTCTTTGCATTGGGTAGACCGGGCCAAAGCAACGCAGGACAGCCCTGCAGGCCAGATCCGACCACATCGCGGGGTGCCTTGTGTTTGACACCCCTGACATACATCATTATGTTTTATTTATTTTCATTTTATTTATTATTATTTATTTTATTTATTAAATTTGTTTTGCTGCCCAACTTGCTGCTAGTGACCACAGCATTTAGCAATGGCAATCCTAGCAGTCCCCGTTACTGTCATTAAGTGAAGACCCTGCGAGTCGTTAAGCAAAGACGTCACCCTAACAGCTATGTGGGAAGAGGCACTGAAACTGCTCCTCAGACAAGGGGGCTAGCAGGGAAGAGCTATGGGTGGGTGCTACACAGTGGTTGGTTGCAGGCAGTACACCCCAGTACGGTGTACCGGAGCCTGCCCGGGGTACCAGATACCGTTCTTGTATCTGGAACCCTGGAGGGCCCGCCCAAGCTCCTTACCATGTTTTAAAGCTTTTGGGAGTTCTGTGCACGCGCATGGCACGTACAGCGCCTGTGCGATGCTCCACTAAGCAGCTGGAGCATTGCGGAGGCTTGCGGAAGTGTCATTTGGAGCTTCCATGTGGGTGACGCCAGGCCTGTTCCTACCGTACCAGTTGGAATGGGATCCAGAACCCACCACTGGTGGTACAGAATATGCACTGGCGGGCATATGCTTTTGGCAGAGCACTACAGGGTGCGGTCAGGCACAACGTAGCAAGGGTGAGCAGGTGCCATGGGCAAGCCCTATGGAGTGCAGACAGGTGCTGCAGAATGCAGGTGGTGGGCAGGCACTATGGAGAACAAGGATCAACATGTTAACCCAATGGCTTCTCTGGAGAAAAAGCAATAGAAGCCAGAACAACCGGTTACCTCCTGCTGGCTTCCCACTGGCTTTCTCATGGGAAGCTGGTCAAAATCGCATGACCACAGGCTACTGCAATCATAATAATTACAAACTAATTGCCAAGTACCCAAATGGTAATCAAATGACTATAAGGATGCGGTAATGGCCACAACATCAAGGACCAGGCGTTAAGTCTCCCTGCTTGTTCAGTGCCACTGTAACTCTGAATAGTCACTAAATGAGTGACTGTATCTCAAGGATTACCTGTATATACATGTGTGTATGTGTGCTTTCCTTTAAATTAGCGGTGGCACCTTTTGATACAAATTTGGAGAAAGTAAAATCAAGTACGCAAAGCTGGTGGGGCTGTGCCATGCATGCCAGGAGGAGCTGGTTTCAGAGGGATAATTTTAAGAAACGACTGTCTCTAGAAACATTTTAAAGTTTCAGTTCAGCTTTTGTGGGTGTCCAGATTCAAAATAATAGAAAGCAGTACTTGTTAATTTATGGCAAGTTTAGAAGAGTGTGGCAGTTTATTGCCTAAATGTTTTGCAAGCAAGGAAGGATTTACTTGTTTGCTCCTACAAACTATGCAATTGGGATTTTGTTCATATTATATATAGAGAAAAGACCAACACCCACATAAACAGGTGATGTATCACGAACACAATTTTTTACAAAGACTCTGGGGGCTTAATTGTACTAACTCCGTGTAAGAGAACAATGAAAGGCTTCAAAATGAAAAGCTGACACTTTTGGAGAAATTGGATTTCCTTACCTTTCCATTTTTACAGATATAATCAAACAGTTCTCCTCCTGAAACGTATTCCATCACCATAAAAATGTCAGACGGTGTACTGATAACCTGATATCTGAGAGACACATTTAATTAATTTGCTAATATACAATATATTCAATATATGAAATTAAACAGGTCTTGAAAAACTACACATAGCTGAGTAGCCCAATCACATACACACTCAGCTAGAAGCAAGACTTGAGTTAAAACAGGATTATTCCCTTTGTATCAGCACTACCAAAAGCATTGTGCGAAAGAAAAAGTAGGTTTTTTTAAAAAAATTCCTTCATGCTCCCATGAATTAACTGTCATATCACATATGGTAACATTTTTACAGCAATTGCCATAGCAGCCTAACCATTACCAGGACTTAAAGCAATTCAGTAAAAACATCTTAGAAAAGGATTTCCATTAGACTCAAACAGTCCTCTCCCTATTATTAAATTTTAACATAAAGCTGATAACAATTCATTGATGCTGCTTGACATGAAATTTGATCAGTTGAGCATATTTAAAAACCCAATTTCACAAGAAAGGGAGAATCTATACAAGCCTATTTAAGATCACTGTATAACTGTACTTCTTAGGATAACCAGCAAACTGTAACATGCAGAAGACCATGAGTTCAACAACCGCCTTAGCCATGAAAGCCAGCTGGGTGGCTTTGGGTGAGTCACTCTCTTTCAGTGCAACCCACCTCACAGGGTTGTTGTTGGGAAGCAAATTGGAGAATGGTGTGTTGTTGTTGACAGTTAACACTGTCAAACTATTTACTAAGTCTCCATTACTATTAATCTTCTCATCGTTCCTATCACCTATCTCCCAATTCCTATCACCTATCTCCCAATTATGACTGTAACTTTGTTGCTTGTATTCTTACTATTTGTATCGATTGTTTCCTAGTATGATTTAATTGCTTATTTGTACCCTATGACTATCATTAAATGTTGTACCTTATGATTTTTGATGAATGTATCTTTTCTTTTTATGTACACTGAGATCATATACACCAAAGACAAATTCCTTGGATGTCCAATCACACTTGGCCAATAAAGAATTCTACTCTATTCTATATCTCATTGAGTCATTTGTAAAAATAATACAACTGGGATACAAATAAATAAAAAATACAAACATATAGGTGACCCATCTCTTCTTCCTTACTTTCTCCACTGATAGTAGATATATGTCTGCTGTCCACTACTATCTACCCTTCAATTGTTCAACTGCTATTCTAAGGGCCGAATCCCATAATAGGTGAGAAAAAACAAGATGACTAGGAGAAGCTTCTGCAATAACTAAACCGCTGCATTGCTAAAGACCTTTGTTCTCTAACCACAAAGGATAACCTTTCCTTTACTCAGATAACAATCACTGCATTTTCTCATCAGGCAAAATACTGGCTTGAGGCTCCAGAGGCAAATAGTACATATTATTAAGCCTCTCCTGAAAGCAAGGGACAGAGTTTGTAATCTCACATTTTGGCAAAAGGAACCCTATCTTTTATTAGGTAAAAATATTTTATGCCTTCCTTTCCTTGTTGTCACCAAACATATCAACTCTCGGGGAACTGAGGAGTCACTATTTATTTTCATTACTGGGTTGGCTACCAATAATCCTTTAGTTGACACTGAAGTCATCAGTTTCCCAACTCTATCCAAATTATAAATGGTGGTCTACCATTATTGATTTATACCACAGTAAGCAAACAGGACTGTACCTGAAAAACAGGCTACATTTGTTTTATTGATTGAAGGAGAAACACCCCAAATAAGAGAACTTCTATTCTGAAAGCAACTTACAGTTTAATTATATGTGGATGCCGAAAAAGTTTCAGGTTCTGAATCTCTCTACGGATTTTCCCCACAACGTCAAGACTACGGATTTTCTGTCTATTCAAAATCTTCACTGCAACTTTGTGCCCCGTCAGTTCATGTTTGCCAACTGCAAGAAAGATAAAACAAATATTAACAAATGCACGCTGCATAAAGTCACTGTTTGCTGAACCAGGGGCAGTGAATAAGGGGAAAAAATTGGCTGAATTCATACAATACACAAAGGCAGGAACTATTATTTGTAGACCTCGGTGGTTACACTGGGACAATAAGCTCAGAGAATCTACATTACGATTTTGCAACAAAGTTTTATGAGACAGCTCAAAGTCTTTCCCACATACTATTTTGTCAAGAAAACAACATGGGCACACTCATATAGTCATCAGAAGTCAAGAGAGAATTCATCTTTATCCAGAGAATGCCATTTGGCAGAGTGAGCAGATGTAGGATTCTGAGAGAATATTGTGAGCAAGATATATGATTTTAGGAGTAGAATATTTCACATCCACAAACCAAATCCTGTTCTGGAAATCTGAAGGACCATTCTTTTAATGACCAGATCAGCATGGTCTGGTGGGGAAAAAAATGAAAAGTTCTGTCCCCAGAACTGTGCGTGTTACACATCTGAACTTGTAAGCGGTCTTTAAAAATGGCTGCTAGGAGAGAGACATTAGTGCTTGCTAGGCTGAATGTATAAATGAATTAGAAAAGATGACCTTGATAGAGATGCACCATGTCCGTTACCAAGCGACAAGTGAAAAGATACTGTACGGCTTAAGTGCAAAACAAGAAAATATGTGCAAGTGAATTGGGCAGACACCTCCCTAATTCACATTTCATTGGGAGGGGAGGAGACACAAGGAAAAGAATGGAAGAGTTAAGACTTGCAAGAATGATGTCCAATCAATCCCACCAAAGGACTCAAATGACTTTTGTTAACATTGCAAGCCTGTTTTTTTTTAAATTCCTTGCCTCCTACTTTTCTCCAATCCTCAAACTTGGTTTTTGTCTCAAGGTAGTGATGCGTTGCAAGAGACTCGTCATCTGCCCCTTGTCAGAACAGATAACTCCTGATAGCCTTAAGAGTTCTCTGTGGAAATTCTGGGCCAGTTTGTTTAAGGAAGATGTGTGTTTTGCAGCTCTTGAAGAAAATAAACTATGGAGACACTTTTGAGTCAAGCTTCAGGCTGGGTTACAGCGTTGAGACAGCATTGCTTGTGCCTGTAAATAACCTACGGTGGATTTGGAACGGGTTTGGTGTACTAGCCCTCCTTGATCATACTACTCATCTGAACTGAAAAGTAGATTTTCATGGTTCATGATCAGGTACTTGAGGCCACATAATTAATCGAGTCCTCCTGCAGCACTCTCCCGGCCAAAAATGTGCCATGCAGGGGCCCCGGGCAGCTCCACATGGCCCATTTTCAGCCTCTACACCCCCCTGCAGCATTCTCCCAGCCAAAAACAAGCTACATGGAGGCCCCAGGTGCCTCCCCCCGGCCCATTTTCCACCCCACGTCCCCCTGCAGCACTTTCATAGCCAAAAATGGGCCAAGGCAGGGAGGGGGCATATCTCCGCGCAGCCTATTTGAGCAGACAGAGGCACCATGGGCCAGTCTTTTGATATTTACCAAATCTAAGCATCCTATGGGCTGGATGCGGCCCACGAGCCTTGAGTTTGACACCCCTGCTCTGTAGGGCTGATTCTGGGGTGGGGTGGGATTTTCCCATGACCTTTGTTTTGCAGGAGCCTCAGGTTCCCACAGGTCTCCTAATAGCAATTTAACGTTTATATGAAACTGCTGGGTGAGGTAATTTATTAGAAAGGGCTAAGTACCTTCACTATGCTGATAATACTGAAATATGTTTCTCTGTTCTGAACTATCCAAGTTATGGGCCAAAGATTGTGTATTGCGGTTGTCTGAGTGTCTGTGAGTGTTTGAATGGGAATAACAGATCAACCCGAATAAGACTGACTGTGATTTAGGATTCCCCAGATCTAGAACTTTTTCACTAAACATGGATGAGGTAACGTTCACCCAGACAGAGTTGGTGCATAATTTGGAAATCTTTCTAGACTCACAGCTCCTACTTGAGAAATAGACAGGAGCCACAGGCAGAAAGGCTTTTGCACAAATCCATCTTATGTGCTTAATCCTGGACTACCAGGCCCTATTGTGATAAGTCATTTATCCATCGGATTCCTATGTCCCGCTCTGCACAGGACAGCCCTTAAAAAGCACTGAAAGCTGTTGGATGCTCAAGAATTCATAGATTGTACACCTTGGTACTTCCGTGTAATGCCACTCGTACATAGCTTCATTGGCTCCCAGCAGGTTTCTGGGTTCAATTCAAAATGCTGTTTTGTCACCTTTAAAGCTGGTGGCACAGTTCATCGACAAATGCGCGATAGACATATGCGCGCCGACAAAACTGTGACGGACAAATGAGCGCCGTCAAAATCGCTAATTGATTTTCGACAATAGCGCGCCAACAAATGCGCGCCAACAAAATCGCATCAACAACCCTAAACCTAACCCTAACCTTTATTGTGCTTGTCATCGCGCTTTTGTCGGCACGATTTTGACATCACGAATTTGTGGGCGTGATTTTGACGTCGTGTTTTAATCGGTGCTATTTTGTCGGCGCGCATATGTCTGTCGCGCATTTGTCGGGTCACGTGGTGGCACACACCCTGGTTAATTATGGGACTGCATGTTGGTATGCTCCAAGTCCCTTCTGTGACACAGTATTATCAGTAGGATCCAGGAAGTACCGTGTTCCCCCCAAAAATAAGACAGGGTCTTATTTTCTTTTGGCCCTGAAATAAGCGCTTAGCCTTATTTTCAGGGAGGTCTTATTATTTTTGAGGTGCAGGAGGCCCCTTAACCTTGGCCTGCAGCCGCAGATCAACTGATCCAGAGAGGGCTGGAAAGTCTGTCTTTGTTTCTAGCACTTTCTTGCCAGCCCTAGCATTGCTGGCCCTGCCGCTCTTTTTACGGCTGCCACTAAGGGAAGGAGCGTGGGAGCTAGGTTTGCAGGAACAGCCTCTGAGAGGCCATTCCATATGGATGGCAGGTGCATGTGGGGGCAGGGGGACATGTTCTCCCTCTTCCCCCTCGGAAATGGCAGGGACTGGCTGCATATGTGTTTAAATATTTTAGGGGAGGGCTTATTTTAGTGCATGCTCTCAAAAGCCCGATTGAGCTTATTATCCAGGGAGGTCTTATTTTCAGGGAAACAGGGTATGTCTTTTCTGTTGCTGCACCTTCCCTATGCAACGCTACCCACTTGGCACTCTTGAAATTCTGATGATCCCAATTCTGTTTTGTGTTGTGAGACTGTTTTGCAAGTAATGAAATTATTTTAAGGAAAAAAAACTACCTTCTGGCAATGTTAGTCCACTGAATACTTTACTAGGAGAGAGAGAGCA